TAATTTATATTTTAATTTATATCAAATATTATAATATTTAACTGATATACAAGTATACTTATACCCAACAAATTAAATAACTAATAAAAATTTTGAATATCCAAGTACTAAATATCAAAACCTTATACCTATCATTGTTTAAGTTTGTTATGAGCAAAAATCTAATCCATAACTATACCTGCTCACCCCTAGAAATAATTATGTTAATTTGAGCCTAATAGGCCCAACGATTGAGGCCATCTTGCCAGTCTTAGAAGTTAGCATCTATGAAACATTGTTTTTTTCCCAACAATTTAGAACCAAAAGAATCACGGGAAAGTGAAGTGCAATTCATTCTTAAGCATTAATAATTAAAAGTAGTGTAATTTGTATAAGATAAATTATATTACAACATTTTCAAAATAAATGTTTTAGTTTAATTTTTTATTTTATTTTAATTTGATTTTTTTTTAAAGCGAATCAACTACAACAATAATTTCTTTTTAATCCAGTAAAACTATCCAACAAGAAAGGAGTGAAGATACTAAAGAAAGAAAAATGGTTTTCATTTCTCATATAAATTTCCTAAATCCCAATGATTCTAAGATCCCAAAATCAAGGAATAGGATGGAGATGAAAGCACCAAATTTTACAAGTTAGTTAATTAGTACAGTTAATATCTTAATTGGTATCAAAATTTGGATCCTAAAAATACCCTGCAAATATCACTCTTCCCCCATATTGCAACAGTGGAGATGAAATGTCCCTCCTAAGTATATTATGGTCTCATAATTGGGGCTTCTTTCCACTCTTCCCTACGCTACGCAGTTGCGATAAATCCGAAGCAAAATTTCTTGGAAGGCACCAAACTGCAGTCAAATAATGACTTAAATTTGGTGCAATTAGCTTTAGCCCTTACGTACGGATGTTTCATGTGCAAGATTGATACCAAGCTTGAGGAAATTATTATAATGATAATTGATACACAAACACTACTGGAAAATTGGGTAAATATGATAAAAACATATTCGACAGCTAGTTGATTGTCAAATAAAAACACATATTCGATAGTACTGGTGTCGAATAAGGTTAATTGTCAATGATAATCGATTTTTTAGTTCATAATCAATAGAAAACATATTCACCAACTATTCTATTGAATATGTATTTTTATTCAACAGCCAAATGGTTGTCAATTATGTTTTTTATATATTCGACATTATTGTTGTCGAATATGTAAGAAACATCATCGTTTCCTCTGTATATTCGACAGCAATGCTGTCGAATATACTCGATCATTAAGCCCCACGTCCCCCCTTTCTTTCCCCATTTCTTCTTCTTCCTCTGCGACGGATCTGGTTCGTTTTCTCCGGCCCTGTTCTTGTCGTTGCCGTCGGATTTTGGCTTCTTGTCATCGAGCCCCCTACTGTCGGAATATTCGGCTAGTGAGTTGGCCCCTCTCTGCGTAGCGATCTGGTGTTAATTTTTTTTTTTCCTTGGATTTACATTCGGCATTTGCAGATTTCCTTGTAGATCCGTGCCTTTTGATGCAAGATCCATTGCCTCTAAGCCACCACGCGCCTCCATCCTACCTTTTG